GTTAATGGTTCCTGCCTAGAGATACCAGTGTTGGTTTAGACCTAAAAAATGCTCCACTTGTGTCATTCTAAATGGTGTCTTCATTCTAGGGCCCTTGGCCATCTCATTAGCTTGTTTCAACATTCTTTCAGGTGTTTAATTTCAGTAACAGTAAATCCGTTAGGACAGATTGACAAAACGAGATGAACTGAACGATGGCGGCGTCTTGTTGTCTCTGGGTAAGCCACTCACTTTAGAGAGCTTTGTTGGGATAGGAAACAAGCAGAATTAGCTTAAGAAACAGATGTCTCTTTATTGCTGGGGACACAATAGACATCACGGCAAAACCTAGCAACAAAGCCCAATGGTAAGCCTTTGGAGGTTAGAATACTATTCAAGGCTTAATTACGAGTCTCTGCAGGCAAAGTAGAGAAACAGTGCCCCACTCTGTCCACAATGAGTAAGACCAATGTGAATGCAGGGCAGTGTGTCAAGGGCAATAAGACTCAAGCAGGAGGTGGGCAAAGGCAAAGAAAGCATATTTGCTACACCTTTGTGTCACAGAAAAAAAGATAATTAGGTGGGCCCCATGATCACTAAACACAGATGCATGCACACATAAATACAGGTTGCCCAATTAATTGGAGATATAGCTATTATAAGCACAACAGGGATGCAAGGGGCCTCCTTTCCCCCTAAACTGGGTCATGAAAACCACATGAGGACAGAATAAAGGAAACATACAAATTGGTTCTGGGGTTAGACACTGTCATTTGCCCACCCTTTTTGCATTTGGCTGCATTTGGTTGAAATTTCACACAGCTGGGATGAGCCTACCTTAATCCTCCTTTTGTGTTTCTGTCAATAATCATGTTTGCACTCTCATGATCCTATGGATTTACTTCTGGTAAGTTATTTGTTGCTGCACCTCTACCACCTACATGACTGACTGATTGGTATGACGTTTCTGGTACACAGGGATCAACATAGCAGATACTGACATGTTGATTTTTGGGTTTTTTTGCTGCCTTTCATATCTTCATTCTGTCTCCCAGTTTTAACGTTTGAGCAAACAATGTCTATAAAAATCCAGTGTGAGTGAAAATAAAAAAAGAAATGCTTAGAAGTTCATGTCAGGATACATATTAACAACATGATCACTTTTATATTATTATCACATTAGAGAGTGTTAAATAACATATATTTTTATTGTACTAAAGTCTTTTCTAGTGTTTAATATCAGAATATTTCCTGAATGCCCTGCGATGGATTGACGATCTGTCCAGGGTGTACCCCGCCTTTCGCCCAATGTAAGCTGGGATTGGCTCCAGCCCCCCGCAACCCTGTACGCAGGATAAGCGTTTGGATGGATGGATGGATATTTCTTGAATGACACGACAAGATAGGAAATATAATCAAATTAAAGGAGCAAAATGTTTCTTTTATTCAGGTCTGTTTGAGAAATGAATAAAGTACACCTATTCAACAAAAGTGACAACAACATTAAGATAATGTCAATCAACAAGCCAAGAATATGGCATGATTAATTTGCAAGGCAAAGTGTGCAAAGGATGGGAAAGATGTGGCCACCCATATTATAATATTTTATTAGTGGCAGAGAGTGCTATACAGCCAGAAATGCTGCCAGAACAAAGCCAGGGCAACAAGGCAGCTCAGTTGTTAGCACTGTCGTCTCATAGAAAGGTGAGTTACTTGCTAGTCTGCCGGTATTTTTCTAGGTAGAGTTTGCATGGTCACCCTGCATCTGTCTCGGTTTCTTCTGGGTGCTCCAGTTTCCTCCCTCAGTCCAAGTTAGATAAACTATAGACTCTAAATTGCCTGTAGGTATTAATATGACCTTAAATGGTTACCTGTATGTGTTAGCACTATGATACTCTGGCACACACACAGAAGTGTCTTCAGATCTATTACTCCTATTGGCAGGATTACATCATTTGTCTGTGTCTTCCAAAACGGTTACAAATCACTGTTTGTTAGGTTTGGGCACACACACACACAAGAAAAACATGGTTAGGGAAATATTATGTTTTGGGTTAAAATACGTACATTTAAATAATAAGTAATTTGTTAAGGTTAGGCAAACATTGTGGTTTTTTGATTGAACAAAAACATATTTAATTTTCAACTTGCTGAAAACACTGATTTGTAATTTTTTTAGGGTGGAAAGTTTTCTGGTATAGGCTCCAGCAACCCTGCCTTGGGTAAGTGGGTAAGATGACAGGCTGGCAGGAACTTCTCGACCCAGCTTGTTGAAAGACAGGCACTAAGCAAAGTTTCTATATAAGAGATGACCAAAAGCCGCAATGAGAATGCTTTATTTTTCTAACGAGGCACAGACCAGACCTTTAGGGATTTTCTGGTTTCCAAGCAGTCCAACATCAATGCTACCTAAATTAGAAGCAATACATACAACACCAAAATTCAAGAAAGAATCTTACTGACAAGGTTTCCTGGCAGCCTGGCGGTTAAGCTAAGTTAAGTTAATGCTTACTATTTAGTGTTAAAGCACCGTCTCCCGTTAGATTCTGGCTATAGACTTTGTTCCATGTTATTCACCCGCTCTCTCCCACCCTCATTTTGTGTCACCTCTATACAATCCACCATAAAAAATAAAAGCATAAATGTTCTGTTGTGTCCAATGGCAATTTATGCTTTTGTTCATATTTCAGTTTTAAGGTTGTAATTATTTCTATAGGATTTAGTGAATAGTCATACTTGGATGTAAAGATGTGTAGTGACAGACGGGGCAGTGAATGGTCAAGTGATGGGTTAGGGGAATAATACAACCATATTACATAGAGCATGAGCGTCTGTGCTCCAACTAGCTTATTTCTATACAAATACAACATAAGTACCTGTTAATATCAATTCTTTTTAATCACTAATGGATGAGTTTGAAAAGATTAAGGAAAAGAGGCTTTGCAAGATAACACGAGTTGTGTAATAGTAACAACAGTTACTAATTCCAACTGACCTTCTACTCTGACCTCAACTACTTTCGCTTTAATAGCATTACACTTGTACGTATGTCGAGTCAGTTGCGAGTTGAAATTTCTGTTAAACCTGACACTGGAGCTTTAATTGGATAAATAACCAAAGATAGCCACTAACGCTTATTACTGTAGCTCTGACTTAGTATCACCTTCTCAAAAATGAATTTCACAAATTACAGCAGTAAAATGTTATTTTTTCTACTAAATTTAATCAAATTAAAGGTGAAAAAATATTTACAGATGGATTTACGCTTTTGCCTCTCAATGGTTTGTAAATTAAGCCCCTACGTGAATCAAAAGGCATTGGTATTTACAATAATTTCTGAGAACAATGTCCAGCTTAGATCATTAGTAACAAAGAGCAGCCACTGGCTGAAAACAACAACATTACACAAAGTCAACAGTGGATTGTATATGATGACCTCTAAAAAGAACAGGTCAGTATGTTTAAAATGAAGAAGAAAAATTCCAACTGGGATGTCCATAGAGAAACATTGGCATTAATTTCAATATTCACTCTCCTTTTGGTCTCCACAAACTGCTGAGGAAAATAACTGGCTCTTAAGCTGCTAAATGCTCCACTACGTTCACCAGCTAGTTGCTCATTTTGTCTGTCTGACATTTGGTGTTGGGCTGGTAGCATACCTCAGATTTTTTGAGCTTCTTCTCTAAAACAGCTGTCTGCTGGTGCAGGGAACAAAGCTAATGAGTTAACTACAACTAACAGTTATCGGCAAAACAGGGCAGGGATAGACCAGTGTCATTTCTCACATGAACAACCTGTGTCCTTTCATAAAAGTAGCAGCACAAACACAAAAACACACAAATGCACATTCACTAAGCTATGCTTTCACCACACACAAAAAAATAAAAGGCTGCAGGTTTGTCGAGTACATCTAGGGAAAGTCACCTACAAAGTCAGCAAGGAGGGCAAATATAAAAAGAGATGGGCTTTTGGAATTGAAGAGACAATGAATCAGAATAGCAACTTCAAGCAGCACCTGTTATGGAGCAGGAGGACCAGGGTGGAGGATTGGAAGGGACAAAGGTTGAGCATTATGCTGCTGTTATAAAGAGCGGGTAAGCCTGTTTGCTTTAGAGGTGTTGTCCAGTTGCCCCAGTGGCTATGTATAGCGGGGACGCCCGTTGCCTTTGTTTTCTGACACGAACGGGGGTAAGCTGTGGACAGTGATGCGTGACTAAATTCCTATTAGACTGGTAGTACTGGGAGAGTCTCTACAGGACACCTGCATCATCACCTCTGTCCTGTAAAGCATGACTACGTGTGATGGAGTTTAACTGATTAATGTTTCTAAAAATGGGTTGATACTAAAATGTGTGTGGTGAATATAAGCATAATATTGTTGTTTATTTATAAGTTGAAACTTACACACTACACTTTCTGCTATAAAGCAGAAAGAAGCAAAGAGTCCTCACAGTGGAAGAGCTGGAACTAGCAAACGTTAACTGCATGATCACTGACTTGAGTGGTTAATGGAAATTGTGGTAGATAAAGTTTTTGTTTATCCACTGATCATTTAATCAACTAGCCTAATTGTTGCAGCTGTATATATATATATATATATATATATATATATATATAGCTATATATTTATTTTTTATTTTATTTATGTTCAATTAAAAGCCCAACACATCCCATGTGATCAGTTTAACAGAGTTATACATTCATTTTAGCTATATTTTCAAATATGTTCTAGTAAAAATTTTGCCTCAAGGATGACATATTGAAATGGATCATTTTAATGTAAATCTGTGTTGACAGTGCTAGTTGAGCGTGAGCAGCATGCCACCCAAATATAAATGTCAGATAGAAATAACAGACGGGGAAATTCATAGAGATCAGCGGCTCAAGTTTTATTGATGCAGATCTGTCCACACCTCTATGTCAACCTGCCAGGTCGTCAACAATAAAACAGGATTAATTCATACTTCAAACAGAGGGGTAGGTGCATTCATGTGCACACTTAGGACTTGTATTCAAAAATTATTAACCCTTATTGAAGTCTGAGTTCATGCATTCAGCCAGCGCTCCATTATAAATCGGAAAAGCTGCTGAATGCCCAGCGCAGAGCACAGAGAAAGTGGAATCAACCTGTTCAAACAGATGGGTTGAGAAGTGTCATTCCCACGCCGAGGTGTGCCAGCGAGCTTTGAAAGTGTGATGAGTCAGGACAAGCTCTCGGGTATGTTGCCACAGAATTAAACACTGAGTGTGTCCTGTTTGATTTTAAGAGCTCCTGTTCTTAAATAGTCTTGTCTGTCAGCACTTACAGATTCAACTAAGAGGCCAGAACAAAGAACTTTCCCGTCATTACTCTGTTGGGATTTTCCTCAGCGCTTTGAATGACTGTGTGTGGTGAGAATAGGTGTGAGATAATTGGAACGGGGAGGATATAATATGTTATGAGAAACAGCACCGTAGAGGGCTAATGCTCTGTCCAGTCAGTCAGGGGTATCTATTTGCATGAAGAATCCTGTACAACTTAAATTTTTCAGTGGTTCTGCATTCATTAGCCTACCTATTGAAGTGTTTTGACACACAATGTGACAACACTTACAATATTTACACAGGTCTGGACCACCAACAGCTTTGTGCTTCACTCCTCCCACTTCTCAACACATTACCTTGCATATCTGTAACGCAAACTTAGCCTTCTGACAAGTAGCTTTCTGACAGCTTTTAATACCTCACCTTTCACCTGCACTTTGTCAAAAGAAAGGCAATCCATCATGTCGAGGAGAGAAAAGCGAAGCATTTAGCGGGAGATGAGTGAGAAGTAACATGTTTGATCTCCTGAAATATTTGCAGAAGGATTCCCAAATGTAGGAGTGCTTAAGCTTATCTGAGGGAGTTTCCACACATCTGCCCAGTGTGAGCAGCAACGGACAGCAAAAACTCCACCCTGGGATCATAACTGTATTTATTGTATTCAGCTTTTTAAAAATCTAATGCAACCTTGCTGCTAGACAGCACACTGACACAGGCTGATTCTGCAAAAACCTGCATCATTTTCAGATTCAATGCCGGTGTTTTGACATTTCTTTCTTTCTACGATATCATGTAGAAAAGTAAGTATGGTATTAGTTAGGAGGTTGGATCATTACTATAGCAAATAAATTATGACTAAGGAAATTGGCCAGGACAGTCTGAAGATGCAGACGAGGCACTACAAAACATTAACAACATGTACAAGAAGCCCAATGCAAAACCCAACCAAGGCGATGTTGCCCAACTTTTGGACCTTGAGTTCGAGGCCAGGCGGGCTTTCATTGATGCAGATGTTACAAAGGACGAAGACCGACCCACGAAAATTTTTGAGGCATATCCATGCTTCAAAGACACTCGAAATGTAAGCTTCTTAACTTCCTTCTTTGGTGCTCTGTGCTTTTGTCTGTTCAGGCTGTGCTATATTAAGCCTGCTCAGTAGCTGTAATAACTGAGCACAATTTTGTCCTAGACAATGGATGAGCTGCGTCGCATCTTTGGTGGCACGAAGGGAAGATGGGCAGACTTTTGTGCTAAGGTGCAGTTCTATGGTGTGTGGAAGAACCCCCTTTCTCCTTGGATCTGCGTGGAGGTAAGTTTCTGTTCCATAAACCAAATCCATTGTTATGTCAGCCATGTTCAAACTATTCCATAAAAGGCCATTTTTCTCTTCCATAGTGGATTTCACTATCGCCCTCCTCAATGCCCTCCCATCACTTTTCCCCTCACCAAATCCACCACCTAGCGTCTCAGAAATGCCAGTGAGGCACTGCTTCGTATCCTTAAGGTGAGAATTGTTATTTAGGCCTTTAAAACTCACTGTAATGTGTCCTTCATTTTCTCACATTGTTGTGCCTTTTTACATTTATTCATTTAGCTGACGTTTTTATCCAAAGCGACTTACAATTGCTATTTATGTCAGAGGTCGCACGCCTCTGGAGCAACTAGGGGTTAAGTGTCTTGCTCAGGGACACAATGGTGGATGGATCACAGTGGCGGACTGAACCCGGGTCTCTCACACCAAAGGCATGTGTTTTATCCATTGCCACCCCCTGTTCATGTTCACACCCAGAACTACTTCAAAGTTCAGTTCAGGACAAATAAATTTAAATCATTAATGTTCATAAATTTAGAATTTTGAACAAAGTTCACAGTCCCAAGGATTATCTAATTAATGTTAATTTCGTCTGTTCCAATTGTAAATTACAATGTGCATTGTTAATAGAGCTCTTTGTTCAATTCATTAGTTGCAACCTGAACGTCATCAAATAATTAGTGTGCAAGGAACATAATTTTTTGAATCAGTTTTGATGCACAGCACTTCTTCTCTTTAACTCACTGTAGTTTTTGTTTTATTCCAGCCAGGCGAGGATCCTGGGCTATACCTGTGGAAGCGGCCTCTCTCCTCTCCAGTGCTGCTTTTTGATGGAACAACCTGCATTGTCGCTGTGGGAAACATGCCTGTGAGCACCCTCCCCCAGGAGGATTTCTGGGAAGGAATGTTGGTATTGATGGCATACTACTACACTCTGCACTTAACATACCCAAAATGTGTAGCCACAGTCTTTTTGTCATGTGACAAATCACAGCACTACCAGCAGTGTATTATGTGTTTTGATTGCTGTTGTTTAAAGGCGTGCAGCAACCCTGAGTCACTGTTAGTGGACATGTAATTATATGCTGTTTAAGACATTTTAATGAATGTTGACAGTACTCATATTTGCCGTGGTTGTGATTCAGTCGAATCAGGTAAGATGTATATTCTAAGAATAAGGACTGGTTTTTAGGTTTTGGTTTTAGTTTTAATATGGATTTAGGTTATTTCAAGATGAGCAAACTTGTTTCAAGTAACAGCTTAATCGTACTTCACTAAAACGGAGTAAAATTTTTACTTAAATTAGTTATTTTTGTCTTGTTCCGAAGCCTTAATTTACTCAAATTAAGAATATAAATCTTTTTAAATAAGAATTATTTGCTTATGTTCAGTATATTTCACTTATTATTGTGCTGTAGGAAGTTTGGTTTCAAGTAATTTGATCTAATAATCAGCCGTTTCTACTTATTTTAACCCTTTTGAATACTTTTCAGGTCCTTCTTATTTTTAGATTTAATAATTCTATTTCAAGATTTCTTGTTAAGTGAAATTAACTTGCTGAATGGACAGATAATTTCTCTTGTTTTAAGTAATTTTCTCCTCAAATATAGTGCTTTTTTCTTATATTTTAGCTGCCCTTATTTGCAGTGCAGTTGGTTATGGTTAGAGACTTTGTTTATTCAAATACTAATTTTTGGTTTGTGACAGCTACACACCTTTCCAACCTACACACCCTTACCCTTCAGCCTCTCAACAAGGCATAATACTTCCTGCATCAGCACCGAATGTTGGCATTGGATGTATTTCTCGTCTGCAGAAAAACGTGATACTCTTGAAGTCTTCTGGCAATATTAATCTTGACGCACGCAACTTGCATTCACCACTGCATCTCCACTACTTTTTGCTATACAATATTTTGATTCATGACAAAAAATTACTTTAATTACGACACCAAGGTGAATCTTCGCTGCAACATGATTGTGTAGAAATCTTATTCCACAATTCTGAAAAGGCATGTAAAGTTCTCACTAATATATTAACTCTTATTATTGAACATGAAAATACTGAGTTACAGAATAAATATCTCTAGTGGCGATAAGAGTTAATACTGTTCCTCTGATTGATATAAAAGTGAGCCTATCAGAGGACTTGTTGTAGAGCAAACAGCAAGGCGATGGCGATCCGCCATCTTGTGGCTCTTGCTACGGGAATATTAGCTACTCTGTTTCAACATTGTTAGTACGGAAGATGCAGTCATTCAGCATTAAAACAGTAAGCTGCTGGGCTTTAAAAAAAAAGGAAAATTCCATAGGCTTATGCTAAAATTGTTAGCATGTTGTATATTTGGTAAAACGAGACTATTATGTTATTTTTGAGGCAGATTTTATACTTTTTTACTAACTGTATTAATAACTGCATGTTGAGCTTGTCTATAGGTCCGTTTTTTTTTAGTATATGGAAGATCTGGAGGCAAATACAACACCAAAGGAGAGTATCCACTGAAGAGAAACTGATGTTTCGGTCGACTGGATGGCGAGCCAAGCTATGGAACTCAAGAGGGATCATTCAGACTGTTACCTTCTTAAGATGGATTCCCTTCTTTACTCTCTGGTGTGGTAGGACAGTTATACACACATATTTGGGCCCCAACAATCGATCTACTCATTATTCACTTAAAGACTGGGTTATTCAAGTTTTTGCTATTATTTTAGTTGTTATTTTGGGTAAACTACATTAAGTCAAATTGCTGTTTTGCTGTTTCGATACACCTGTTCATTCAAACTTACACTTGTGTTAAGGCTTCAGTACAGATCTCAGGCTCCTGTTGTCCTACTTCTTCTAACACTGGTCTACATTCACATCTTATTGATAAGTCTGTATTGGACACGGTGACATTACTGGATGATTACCTTGTAATACGAATGTTATATTTCTTCAGCATTACCTCTTGATCGTGACAAAAGATCATATAGTTGCCACAGTGAACACTTTCCAAAGTTGTAAAATCCTTTCGGCCACAATTAAAAAGGAGTGTGCAGTTTTTTGGCATCAGACTTCCTGGATCATATTTCACTGTGCTGCATTGGTGGTGGTGGGGGGTGTTGTTTAATGTACCAGACCTGCGTTGTTTAACACAGGGCTGTTTTTGATCTGAATCCCCGCTAAGTCTGGGGTGAAAGCATGTTCTACCTTTTAGGACTGTTGCCATCTTCACAGTGGAGCTAGACCTTCAGGCACAGAGCGATTTACAATCCAATGGCAAGCGGAGAAAGCCTGTGAAGTGTTTTCAATGATCTCCACCTTCTCTGTCCTCAACATGAGACAGGTCAACCACGCAGGAAGACTACACAGACCCTTTGTGTGCTAAGAATTCAGTACGTCATTGGGAGAGAAAGTTCAGTTTCCTTTTTTTTTGCAGCATACCAGGCTAAGGAAGCGCTGCTTAAACTAGAGAGGTCAGCTCCCCAGACAAAAATCTGGATTCAGATCCAAGTACAACTCCCAAATGAGTAGCAAATGTTTCCCAGGACAGATTTACAAGACACCATCATTAACAGTAATGCAAACTATGCAGCTCAGTAAAACATATGAAGACTAGGAGCAGGTAGGCAATGAAAAGAGGTTTGATGCAATGGCCTACTAATCAAACTAGTCACATTGTAGGGCTGTTTGTGATATGAGCAAGTGGGAAGCTTCCGGTCTGAGGCTTGAATCCAATGTGGAAGTCCCTTAAACCTGCATTCTATTAAACAGCCAGCAGTGGGCGATTCTTCTGATTACAAAAAGAAGTCCAGATCCATTAGAAGACAAGTCGTTACCATGGCAACCTGTTATTCAAGCTAGAGTGACTCGTACCCACGGCACTGTGTAAATTTAACCAGCACCGTTGAAAAAGCTTATTAGGAGTTGGCTGTTCACTTTTTTGAGTACATTTAGTTTTAAGCCTGTTGTTCGCTAGACAAAATCATCTGTTAAAATGACAGTTAACGTGAATTACAGATGCACCTAGCGAAGCAAGTTAGCTAGCTCGTCCAAATATGGTCACGTCCAGTGACGCTGGTTGCAAAAACTCAACATGGCGGCGCCCTAACGGCCAAACTCAAGGCTTCAAAACGCCAGTCCACAAACCAACAGGTGACGTCACGATGACTACGTCCGCTTCTCTTATACAGTCTATGGATATGGGCTTATTGTGAGGATCTCAAGGTCTTTTAGACAATGTATGGTTTTTCTTTATAGGTCACTTTAACAAGTAAGATTGATTGTCTAGTTGACATATAATCTTCAAAATTAATGATGGCCGATGGTCGCGAATTCGCATCACACCTCTTCCTTTCAGACTGCAAGCCAAGATAGCACATGGATTCCCCCAATGCCTGTTGGTGCATATTTGATACGTACCAAGGAACCTTTTGCAAGCCCTGGTTTCTCGTTTATGCCTGTTAAAGCCAAATTAACAATCTTCACTTAATTTAACAACAGCTTGAAAGCAAATGAAAACACAATTTATGTTTTTATTGTAAAAAAAAATTCAGGCGTCAAAGGGTTAAGATCCTTCTGTGAAGTCCTCACATGTCCCAAACTGAGAAGTATTTCAAACTACGACAGGCAAAGGTGGGGTCAGCCAGTCACACTGGTACAAAGTAAATTTAATCATCATTTTACAACAGGGTTGTAAAATGAAATGCAGTTTGTAGTTCCCTTCTGCTACAAAGCAGACAAAACAGTCAGCCACAGTTAATTTTACAGCCATAGCAATAGCCATATAGCTACAGTAATAGCCATTAGCCACAGAAATGGCCATAGAAAAGGACACGACCCACTGGCAGCGTGGTTGCAGCTACAGTTGGAGTTTAGCTTTCTTTAAGCTGAGGGGCGGTAGGCTTCTGTTCAAAAGCCCAAAACAATATGCTTACAGGTAACCTGACAGGGAACTCTAGTGTCCACATGAGTCTTTTCTGGCAGGAGCAACAGCAAATGTAACATGACATTGGTGTTAGCACTGTCAAACCTTGTCAGGAAGATGTTGGGGTGAAAGGATGGGTCAACATATCCCATAACTTTAACTAACAAACAGCATGGATTTGTTTGGAGGACTTGTTGGGAGACAAACAAGAGTCTTCAGTCATACTAGTGGCTCTGTGAGGCTGTTCTTTGTCACAGTGGTGCTTTGAGCTAATTACCAACATCGGCATGCAGACATGCTCACAATGACAATGCTAACATACTGATGATAAGCAGACATAATGTTTGCAACATGTGTTATTAACACAAAACACAAAGCTGAGGCTGATGGGAAACCATTGGACAAATTAAAATTTTGACCTGATGGTGGTATTTGAGGATGGCAGCACCATGGATATCTGTACCAAATGTCATGGCAATCAATCCAATACTTCACTAAAGGCCAAATACGTCAACCTGCTAAACGAAAAGTCAGGGGATCACTAAAGTAAGCAGAATTCATTCTTAGAGGACCACAAATCTTTCCATTATCTTGATTTTCCAGATAATTTATCCATGAGTTTTTGAGATATTTCTGTCTGAACCAAAGTGGATGACCACCCAACAACACTGCCATCTCTAGTGCCATGATGGTATCATGGCGAAAAGGCAGAACAAACAAAATGAGATGAGTGATACATTACAATGGGGTCTAAATTAATGCTCTTAGCGTAATCAGAATCAGTTTTATTGCCAGGTATGTGTACACATACAAGGAATTTGACTCTGGATTGTACAATGCTCACGATGTGCTTACTTACACAATAATACAATAACACAATAATATAGTAATAAAATCAAACACAGGCTACAGTATAGAGAACACATATATTCACACTATAAACAAAACAGACCGATTGAGACAATAGTGCAATAATGCAATGAGCAGATTGCAAAGTATGCAGGAGTAAATTGTTATTATCATTATTATTTACATGTGTTGGAGGTCGATGTGGTATA